CCCCCCCGCGCCTCCCCCCCCGAGCAGCAGGGCAAGCACCCGGGGAGGCCACGGCAGCGAGGAGGGGGCTTGCACAGGTTGCAGCCCCTCCAGGCTCGGGGCAGGGGTGCGTGGCCGGGGGCTGTGCTGGAGCTCGGTCCCACCCAGCGCGTCCCCCCCAGAACCCCCAAATGGGGCCGGGGTGGGGGGCAGGCAGCTGCCCGCTGCCTCTCCCCAGATGCCAGCTGGGTGCCGGCAGCCCGCTGGCATCCGCTGCCCGGTACAGCCCGTTCCCATCCCCGCCGGGGCGGTGAGCTGCCGCTCGCCGGCCGAGCCCTCCCGCAGCATCCCGCTGCTGGGGAGCTGCAGCCCCATTTTTGCTCTCTTTAAAGGCATTTGTAGGCCTCGAGGAGGGGCCGACCGCTGGGAACGTGGAGGGAGCGTAGCTGGTGCCGTGGGAACCTCCGCCGTTGCCCCTGGAGCCTAATGACAGCGCCGCCATCTCCCGCTGACCCTCTCGTGGCTGATCTGCTGAGCGCCTGCCCACCACGGCTCCCTGCCTGCACTGCCGACGCCTGAGACACGCGTGCCTGCGCCGCAGCCCTGCCTAGCCCGCACCGCCTCGCCCCGCGCCCGGGGCCCGCTGCAAGGCAGGTGTCACTGTGTCATACAGATGGGGAAACTGAGGCACGGTTTGGGGAGCAGTGGGGCCAGGCTGTGGGTGCAGAGCTGCTGCCAGGCCCTGAGTGTCGGGGAGGGAGAGGGTCCCGTCCCTGCTCGGCACTGGGGGCTCCCCATCCACCCTGTGTGGTGCCCCCAGGACCCCCAGGCGGGGGTCTGGGCACACACCGGCCCCACGACCCAGGACTCCCAGGGTCTTGCTTTGAGGGGGTCACCAGGGGCTTGGGGAGTCCTGTCTTGGCTTATGGGGCTGCCTCAGTTTCCCCAGGGAAGATGATGACGGTGCCCTCCCTGCCCGAGCAGAGGTGGGTCCTGGGTGCCCCGTCCCCGCCATCGCCGCCCCATGGGGGTGGATTTAAAGCCTTCACCGTGGGGACAGAGGAGGGGCCGCGGTGCTGGAGGATTTGTCTGCGTTTTGTGCTCCTCGTCCCGGTGGAGGCTGGAAAACGCGAGGCTGTGGAAGCCCATGGCCGCCTGACCCCGACCGTGCTGGGGCTGCGGGAGCAGCCAGAGGGGGTCTGTGCCCCAGCGCAGGGTGGGACGGGGGGTGCCAGCGGGGCTGGGCTGGCCCCCGGCTCCAGTGGTGGCTTGGGGGGCCGGGCTGTCCCCACCGTCACCCTGCAGACATCGCCTCCGTTTCCTGGCTTTGTGCTATGAATTATTTGGGCAGCGGTGGCTCCCAGATGTCTGCCCAAGCCGGCGAGGCTGCACGTGGCTGGTGGCCACCCCGGTGCCCGCAAGGTCCCCAACCGGGATAGGGGGACAGTGCCAGAGCACCGCGTGTGGGTGCCGGGGCTCAGCACTGCAGTCACAGCCTCCTCGCTAGCTCGAGGTGCGTGTTCCCCGCCGGGCCGGCTGTGCCAAACGGCCTGGGAGCCGTGGGAGAGCTGCCGGTGGCAGCGGCTTTCGGGAGCCTCGACCACTCAAAATCCTCAACTGGGGACAAATCCTGCGGTGCCAGGCAGTGCAGCAGAGCGGGACGGGCAGGATCAGGCCCCCGCGGGGCCGGCCTGGGGGCCATGCCGTGAGGCAGGTGGCTCCCGGGGGGTGAGCGGCAGCGCCGGTATATAGGGCACGACGCGGGCTGCGTGCCGCCGCGGAGGCGTGGGAGGGCGGGAAGCAGCTCGCGTGCGGTGCAGGGCGGGAGGCAGCGGCACCGGCCGCTATTTCTGGCACTCGCTCCTGGGGGAACGTGGGGAAAGTCACCGCGCCCCCCGGGGGCCACTCCGCCGGGGATGCTCTCGGACGCCCACCCTTGTCCCCAGCAGTGATGGCCCCTGCTGTGGGGGCTGCCAGGACCCCCATCCCCGCCTTCCCCCGGCGGGGGCAGAGGCCGGTGCCTGGCCGGTGTCCCCCCGTTGCCCCGGGGGACGCTGTGGGGTTGGAGCCGCTGCCGTTGGCAGCTCCCAGGGCCGTCCTTCCTCCGTTGCCCTTTGCCGTTGGGATGCTGCCCTGGGCCGGATCCTGCACCCGGTGCCCCTGCCGCCCAGCCTGCTCCGGGGGTTTCGGGCTGCTCCCGGCTGGGTTCATCCCCGCTTCGCCCAGGGAGCGAGGCTGCAGGGTCACCGACAGCTGTCTGTCTGTCCGTCCATCCCCCAGGCAGGACATGGACTCCATGTTCGAGGACGACATCAGCATCCTGACTCAGGAGGCGCTGGGGCCGGACGAGGACTGGCTTGACAGCCCCAACACCGACTTCTCGGGTGAGATGTGCTCGGCCTCCCACTTCGCCCTCATCACCGCCTACGACGACATCAAGAACCGGCTGACAGGGCTGGAGAGGGAGAACTCCACGCTCAAACGCCGACTCAAGATGTACGAGGTCAAGGTGAGGGGCCAGGGGGGCCGGGGGGGGGCACG